GTAGAATGTTTCTTTCTAAGCATTATAAAACTATAATGCAATTTTGCAATTAGTAAAAGCAATTCATTATAAAGGATATCATATACATATTCTGTTTGAGTCCCCTGAGCCATCAAGCATGAGTTATTGACGTGCTTCTAAAATAATCCATATGACTTTTTTAGCCTTTTTTTTTTTTAATATATCTTGGGATCATATTTTGCTTCTAATTTCTCCTACTGAGCTGAGGTTTTGAGAGCTGGAGTGATGGACATTCTCATTTGACGAAATTAAACAAGTGGGGGCTGACACATTAATCAATAATTTTATTTTCACGCAAGCCATGCAAGACTCCGCATTTGTATATGCTCTCGTGGTTTTAAAAGAAAATCGGGAAGAGGGGTATGTAACATAAAAAGTTGAACTTTTGTTATAGCAGTATCAAGATGTATTCCAACCCAATCGCCCAATTGGTTTACTTCCTATGACGGATGTACAACAAAAGATGGATTGTTTCAAGAGCTGTCATTCCACATTGGCTAGTATACTGAACACATCCCAAAGAATATGAAAAATTGCAACATCAAGTGAAAGAACTCCTTCCTAAGCACCTAATTAATAAGGGTGTCATTCCATGCACTATACCCACTTTACCAGTCCTAAATAAAGGCAACATGTGATAAATGTGTATTGATAGTCGAGCAATAAATAATATTACAATAAAAATGTGAATCGTGATTCCTTGATTAGACAATATGTTTAATCAACTACACGGTGCCTCTTTAATCCAAAATTCACTTGTGTAATGGGTACCATCAGATATCACGGAGATGGAAGACATAGGGAATACTACATTTAAGACATGAGATGGATTATACAAAAGGAAGGAGATGCATTAGGCCATTCCAAAGCACCCAACACCCTTATGCATTTTACAACTCAAATTTGTCGGCCATTCTTTGGCAAGTTCATGTAGTATACTTGATGACATCATGGTTTATCTTTGTACCTTAGGAGCTTGTAAACCCAAGGAATCCCTCTGTTTTCTTTAATCAACAAGTGCTTCCATCAGGTTCTCTATTGTCTAATTGTGCTTGTTTAATTCTTTTTTTTTTTTTTTTTTTTTTTTTTTTTTTTTGTTCATCATTGATCTAGCCTTTTCTCTTCTTGAGTTAAATTGCAGGTTGTTAGAATTCCAGCAAAACTTCTTTTCAGCCCACTTTTGGAAGATGGGCAGAAGTTACACCAATTGGAGGAGGAGTGGGGAGGTATCGGTCAGGTAGCAAGTGACAAGTGACGGGAAACATCAAATCAGAGGTGCAGCAGTTACGAGCACTTCCCTGCATCCTTCTTTTGGCCTGATCTGGAGAAGAAGAACAAGGAAAAGGAATTCTTGTGGTTGTTTGTTATTTCACGTAATTTATGTAATCTTTTCTTCTCCATTTCTTTTAATTAGCTGGTAGTTTGCTTAAGGTTCCTGAAGTTCTAGTATTGCAGAAGTTATCCTTTTTTTATCCCACCTATCAATGTCACATTGCTTGATCACTTGATTACTTGATTACAGTTATCTCCAAAAATACTTATGAAAAAGGTGAATTCAACAAGCAACTCAGCTAAAAGAGCATTCTTGAAAGAACTGGCAAGAACGTAGACATTACTTCTTGATAATGAAACTCTAAATTTGACCAGAAAATGGCCTCATGCTCGTCATGGGTTCCACTAATAAAGAGGGTATGCAGCTAAGGGTATTAAAAAAACAAGGAGAACAGGAGTATTTATTTCCTTCTTGGCAAAAGATGAAAGTGTGAACAGTAAAAAGGTTCTTCATCAATGACATTCAAATGCAAGTATAAAGGCTGCGTAGCAATGCATGAACTTATCCAAACAAAAGATACAAGTTGCTGTATAAAACTATAACATGATTGGAAACATTCAGTTCACCAAATATACTACTCTTACTCTAGCAGTATAGCAAATAATGCACTCCACTTAAAAAAAGCTAAGACCTAACTTAGAGGCAAATGGGTTTGCTGGCATCTTACATGCAAAATTATTCTAGTAGCATATGCGACTTGTTTGTTTTTCCACCATCTCAATGTTGCAACTAAAGATAATTGTAATCTTGGAAACAGGCAAACAATCTAAATCCTAGCTTCTAGCTATCTTGACGAAATAGGAACCAAAAAATAAAAATCAAAAGATAGACAACTGTTGATCATTCATGTTGGCTGGTATTTTATAGATCTAATCGCGAACTGAACATATAATTATTGGTAGGTAGGTTGCACTTACATGCAACTACTACTCTAATCGAGATAACAACATTTTTCAAGTAATATTGAACTAAAGTGTCGGTGATGAGGACATCCGAACTTCGGAACTTGGAGGGTATACCAGAGACGTGGTCGTCGATCTACGGCCGCGATTGCGCCACTTTACTTTTGATCATCATTGTATTAGAATTATTTGTATTAGTTTATTTTTGTGTTATGAGTTATTATTGCATTTTCTATTTATACCCTCATTTGAGGGTCTAGTTATGTGCAAGCCCTAGGGGCAAGTTGGTATTTTATTTTTCTTTCATTGTAATAAGGCTATTTAAAGGCCACCTCCTTCTCCTTGGAGGCTAATGAATAATATTACATGAAAATTTCTGCACTTGTGTGCTTTTGGGAGAGTTTGTGAGCTCTTGAATATTGAAGTCCCTAGGTGAGGGCATCGTAATACCCACCAACCGCAGGAAGTGTTCGGGTTCGTGATTGATCTTCGCCTTCCCCTCCCTTGCTTCTCTTCGCCCCTACAAACCGCCGGCCTACCCCTCCTTCCCTTCCCCAACTATCGGCATCCCATCCCACTTCCCCTCCTCGACTGAACCAACACCACCCTCACAAGGCCAACCGGTCTACCCTCTCCCTCCTTCAAACTGACGGCCACCACTCCCCTCCACCCCTAACCGCCGACCCTACATCCCCTTCCCTACTACACAAGCCGCCAGCCACAAAGGCATAACCCTCCATCTTCCATTGGCTCCACTAATTCCATCTTGCATTCAAAGCCATTCCAATTTTAGCCTTCTTAATTTGTTAACAAATTTGAGTTCAAAATTCAAACAAATTTGAATTTGAATTTGTTTCATAATTAAAAATTCCTATTTTAGGAAAGTTAATTAAATTAAGTCTAATTATATTTGATTTAAATTAACTCTTCCTAATTTAAGATCCCAATTAGAGCAAGATTTAATTCATTTCCCTAAACCCTATCCCACATGCTCATGTCGTTGCCCCTTCCTTCTCCCCTCTCTCTCTCCCACATTAACTCCTCTCCTTTTAGGGAAATCAATTTAGTCTCTCGTTAAGGAGTAATTTTCCCTCTTTTCCCTTACTTGGAATTCAAATTTCAAAACCTGATCCTCTCTCACTCAAATCTGAAATTCTATTTCAAATTTTTGGAAGATGCTTTCTTCCCCTCGTTTTGGTCGACTACCCACCTTCCCCTTGCCACCACTATTCTCGGATTGAAGCTTCACCTAAGGAAGAGAGAAGAGATCACACCACTTCCCCTCCCACACTTAACAAACTTCTCTACCCACGCATGGCGGATCCTCTTCAACTCACCATTCTTCAACCCCAACCTCGAGATTGACCAAACTGTAGAGGACTACGTGGAGAGGATCGTCTTCACCCTCGCCGAAGCTATTCACGAACAATTTTCTTCCGTCCAATGGCGGGTTATTTCTAAATCCTGAGCAAGGTGAATCTTTCCCCCAAATCTTTTCCTATCTAAATCCTACCCTAACTTGTGGTTTTAATTAAGTCATCAAGGTTGTGTTAACTCCCTCCGGTAAACCTAATAATTTAGAGAGTTGATTGAGGGGCTTATTTTCATAGTGACTAGTCTCTTTGTTAATTTTGGGATTTCTTATTGGAATCCTTTCATGTATGCTATGTTTTGAATCATTGATTATTTTGTGATCCTAACTTTTAATTGTGTGACTTGGCCTAAGCTAGTCTCATCTCTTTCTTGTTTTATTTCATCGTTTAATTATTACAAGTATTTTAGTGAATAAAGCTCTCTAAATTAAATTGTGCAAGATTCTTTTCTAACATCGCTTAGACATTTAAGTCCTGCATCAGTCGGCCTTCCAATAACCTAGTTAGGAGAGTAGGTGTATTATATTCGACCTATGTCAAGAACTATAGAGGCAAACCTAAAAAAACTTGGTTAAAAAGTATTAGAAATACTTTTGTTTATTATATTTAAATGAGAATTTAACTCTTAATAGGACACAATGAAGAAAAAAGATTAATGTAGCCGACCACCCTAGTGGGATAAATGATTGATGTTGTTGTTGTATTGGATTTTTTTTAACCATAACAGCCAAGTGAGATACACTAGATTATTGTATTTTTTGGGATGTTCCCAGGGGATCCACGGACCCTGATATACTAAACCAAGTCAAGATGGTTCTTCTGAAATTGGATAAATTAATTGAATTGGCCATAAGATCTGAAAACTGAGAATAAAAGCAGCTTCAAGTTTCATAACTATGGTAATAAAAATCTAGAGATAAAATGCAGAGGCTTCCAGAAATGTAGGTTCTTGAGAGGAGCTCACATGCCCTACCCGACCCCTGCTTTGCATATAGGCTTTTTCCTAGCCACAAATCCGTAACCTCCAGATAACAAAAATTGTACAAATTAAAGTAAGAAGTTAAAAAAGTTCAGTTTGTGGATTCTGGAGACAAAATTATATAAATAGATTTATCTGCATAAGTCTCAGATAACAAGTCATCGCTAACGCCCATCGAACTTTTTTTAACATCATTTGATTAGCATGGAAGCCCTGATTCCTTCTTGATCTTTCTTATCATTATAATCGCCCTCAGTCCCATTGGCCTCCAGTTAAAGAAACCGTCACAATACTTTATAAATGACAAGACCTAAGCTTTGACTTGCAAAGTGGTTAGATATTTTAACAGACAAGAAGCCGAGTAGGTAAAAAGGGAAGAAGAAGAAGTGTACCTGGACTCCTCCTTCCCCAACGCTACATGGGATGATGACGGGACCGAGGCTGGGCTTCTCAGCAGCAACAGGTACCTGCACGCTAAATCCTCGCCCCGGCCGTCGCTGCGCGCTGTCATTGAGCTTGTCCCCGTCCTCTTCCCCAACGGCGTGGGCCTCGTCCTTCACAAACCCTAGGATTGTGCCGATCCTGCGGAAGAATCCCATGGAATCCACCGTTGTCCACAGAGAAGGCGAAGCGAGGACAGTCCAAAGAAAAGAGCTTTCTTACAAGAAGTTCATTCGGTCGCCTCGTTTTGTTAACCTTCGATTTCAACTGTGAGATGGCTGTTCGGCTGCAAGTAGGATTTTACTCGAAGATTAGGAAATCCTGTAATTTCATATTTACTGAATTTTATGCGTTAAATTTGATCAATTAAAATAAAATTTTGTTAAATTATTTCAGAATTTAATTTTTTATATTTATTTTATTTATATAATTTTAACTAAATTCTAATAAATAATTGATAGCATATTAAGGTAATTAATTAACTTTTATTAATATTAATTAAATTATTGAGAATAAATTAATGAATACATAAAAATATTAAGATTAAAGTAATTACTTAACAAACGCACACACTTATGTAATTTACTTGGTATATATATATATGATACGGCATCACAAAATTAGCTTGATCGGGCACGAATCTCGAGGCAAAAGGTGAAATGACTTTTTTAAGTTAAATAGGCTATACTCCTGGATTACTAAGTCAATGATTTAAAGAAAAATGGAGGAGAAAGGGGATTTAAGATTTTGGAGTAATTGAAATATTCATTTTGATAGTTTGAGAAGATTTACACCAAGGCTTCGTTTGGAACATCTTTGTATCGATTTTTAAAACAGTTTTTTAGTAAATAATTTTTAATTCAAGAAATTTATGTACTAAAAAGTTGTTTTAGAAAACATCAAAAAAAATTGTCTGAAATGAAGTCTAAATTCTGATTAAATTCATCTACTAAAAAAATCCCTTAATTGGAAAAAGTTATGCATGTTATCGTGATTCAAATTTAATGATAATTAATTGTATAATCTAAAATTAATGAAAATTTTTATTTATTAATCACTTCTTATATATATTTTTTAAATAAATTATAAGACTATAAATTTTATTTAATAAAATTATAATCTTGATTTATTATCTTTCATATTAGATCAATTTGCACAACTATTCCCTACAGATTTTTCATTTGGATAAATATACTTCAAAGACAATATTGACAAAAATGCCCTTAAAAATAGATAGTGCCAATATCCCACTCATAACACAGAGAAGCCTCATTCTTGAGCTAGTTTAAGTAGTTCAACCTAGTTCTAACCTTGTTCTGTTTTAAAGAGGACAAAACATTATTTCAACTTTGTTTGAATCTAGATCAACAAGGCTTGAAATTGCTTCAAACTTCTTCTAAAGATGTTTGAACAAGTTCCATCACGATTTTGTTCGGTTTTTGCCTTACCCAACCAAGTAAAAGCATGTGTGAACCTTGTTTGAATTGTTTTTGTCATGATGACCAAAAAATGTTTGTATAGGCTTGAATGTTATAGAACAATTTTCTAATAATATTTTAAAAAAGTTCAAACATGATTGAAATTGATTCAATCATGGTCAACTCTCTTTTTTCCCACGTTTGATGTATAGCAAGGCTCAAGACGTTCAATAAGTCTTTAATATGGTTCACAATTAGTTCAATCATATTTGACTCGCTCTCTCAACCCGTTTTTTTATGAAAAGCAAGTTTTGAACATATGTCAATCATTATTAAAATTATAATAGAGAAATGACTAGCACCTAACTCAAAATATCAATGACATAGCATTATTTGTAAAAGCTAAACTCACAATAATATCATTTAGGTATATAGTTTAAGAATTCATTTAAGATCTATAACTACATAGTTGCACATAACATCAATGTCATAGTTACTAAAATTAAGAACAATTCTACAAATAGCTACAATCATGGAATTCATTTAGAGGTGCTCATAGATCAATTTACAATAACATGAAATACTTTAAGATGCATTATGGATCTAAGTAGTTAAAGAATATGTCCACACAAAGTTTGTCTGTGAATAGTGACATTCTTCCATAAAATCAATGTGATCATGTATAATTTCGATGACATTCTTCCTTAAATCAAGGAGATAATAGATTGGATCATATACACTCCACAATCTATACAAAACAAAGCAATACAATTTAAAAGCTGATGGTATGTAAGTTGTAAAAACAAATGGTAAAGAAAATATTGACTCATGGTCTCAACATTATAGCCTACTTTTTTTTTTTAATGTTATTACCTACTTTTTGCTTTTGACACCGAATATTTGTTAGCTTCTCTCAATTTCTATGGTAATGGAGAATGTCCATTATATGTGCAAACAACCCCAACTCTTTCAACAATGCAAGGAAACACTTGTAAAGTGAGGTCATTATTTAGCAAAGTTTTTAAGGTGTAACAACATAAGAAACATAATAGTATAATGTCAAAATCCTATTAGATAATGTTATTTCACGTACAATCAAATGAAATGTATTCCAATTAATTGGATAGTATATACGTTCTATTTTCTTATCAACAACTGAGGAATCTTTCTTCATCACCAATGTCATACTTATAGAGCCCACCTACATAATATTTTAGGTTCTTATACATAATATAAATGAAAAAATATTATTTTCAAGTATATATTAATCAAATTATTTATCTAAGATGACAATAGCTATCTCAAATATCTCCAGGTAAAGCCAAAGTCATTCCCTTGTTAAAAGACTAAATGCATATACATGCTGCAAAATAATAATTCATAATATATTTAATATTGTATCATTAAGGAACATTGTGTCACTATAGTATAAGACTATAAGTTAGCTAAGGGTGTAAATGAATCGAGCTTGCTCATGAGCCAACTCGACTCTACTCGATAACTTGCTCGTGAGTGAATCTCATCATGCTGTAAGCTCCATCTTGAGCTAAAACTTGAGCTTATCTATTCAATAAGCTCAATTTTTTTCCTTCTATTATATGCAACTCCTTACACATTTTATTTATTTAAAATTTCAAGTCCTTGAATATCCTTCTCATTTACAAGCTCACATGTTTATGTACCATCTTCATTAATAAGCTCAACTACTTGTATATCATTTTTATTTACAATCTCAACTAATTGTGCATCATTTGTATATACAATCTCAATAAATAGATCAATGTGTTAGGCCCCCACGACAACATTCTCATGAGTCTTTGCATGGTGGCTTGATTTATTGTCATTGATCATTATGTACGATTATTTTGGACTTGAAAAAAATTATTCAATATAACATTAAAAGTTAGTTGCCACTACTTTTAAACATAAATAATCATTTAAAATATAATAAAGTACATATCACTCACTTCTTTATTATTTATAACTGATAAAAAAATTATTATGAGCATTTTGTTGCTCATCTTACTCAACATCGTAGAGAAATTCGCTCAAAAGAATTCAACACAATCATTTCCTTCCTTTGGAATGGCTTTATAAAACCAACACTGCAATGAGATAGTAAATCAACTAACAGTGTAACATGCTAGGGCTTTTTTCCTATCCTCTTCCCCACCTTGTGGACATTTCCCTCAATGTAGATTATTTTTTTGTAGAACTCCTATGACATCCTTTCTCATGAGAATGCAAAGAAACTTGCATCTTTCTCAATCATAGCTAGCATATCAATAATGAATAATATAAAAAAAAAAAAAACTAATGACATCTTAATTTATTGTTTAACTTACAATATCCTTCTCTAGATCAACTTTTTTGAATTTCTTCATTAGTCCTCAAATATGCAAGTTACTATTGCAATGTTGCACCTCTCAATGCAAATAATTAGTTTGGACATATATCTATATATAACAAAATAAACTAAATGAATAAATTTCATAGAAGATAATGTGAAAAATTTTGGTTGAAGCATAAAACTCAAAACTAATACAAACTCCTATTATGCAACAATTACTATATAAATAGTTTTTCTTCAATTCAATCAATGTTCAAATTAATTATGAATATTATTAGCATATTCAAAAATTCATTGAACCAAAGTTTTACAATGATCAAACTTAATTTGAACTTATGTTTAAACATAATCCTTCTTTCAACTGCTATGGTATAAATATAAGTTTGAACATAATGTTAAAGTTTGAACATATTATTGAATAAGCTTTAATCATCTATTACGGTATTTGAACTTTAGTTCAAATTTCATATAATAAGTTGAAGTTCTTATTCAAACCTACGATTCTATTATAATATTTGAATCTCTACTTTAAAAGTAGTTGTCGAACACTCGAACTAACGTCCTTTTTTTTCATCATATCACAATCTAAGAGGAATGTTTGTGCATGATTTCATTTTGATCGCAAACAAATAAAACATAAAAAAACCTACCACAAATAGGGGAAATTTGCTAAAGAGAGGCAAAATAGATCATTCTTTGAGCAATAGAAATATAGTTAGGATCAACTGGCGGGAGTCGGGAGGCAAACTCGTTCGTTGGCCGAATGATTAAGCCAGTCGGGATCGGTCTGACCAACTAGCAGGCGGACGGGACTTGCGTCAGGCTGGGCGAATCTGGTGTTCTTTCACTGACTAATTTATCACCTTTTATTTTAAATATTTATTCGCATCTTTACCCTTCCCAACACTCCATATCCTTTGCTTGCCAAGCAGTGATTATCTACCAGCTTCCGCGCTCATCAATAGTAAGCTTTGTCAACCAAATCTTCAGGAATTCTACCTCCATATCTTTGCTAACACAGTTAGTTTTCCTTCTCTATTTATGTTTATTTGTTGGCAATAATTAGACATGGCGAGTTTTTTTCCTGGATACATCACTTTGTCAAAAACAAATATGGATTTTTTTTCTTTTTTTGCAAAAAAATATGCTATTGTTTGTGCAGGGTTAGATATGAAGTATTTTAGCAAGAGTATATTTTATGTTAATTTTTGAATGTACACATTTGTTATATTTTGTTGTTATTCTCTCCTCCATCTATTCATCAATACCTCACAAAAGGCTTATTTTCCCATAAATAATTCTTATATGAAATATTTAGTACTTATGTCATTCTAGTTATGTATCACACTTATGGGACTGTATTGGAGTTTACACTTTACTTTTGGCTAAGTTATATGCTAATGAAATTGCTTGCTACTATAAATTCATATGCTAAATATTCTCAACTAACATAAGTGCACGTGCCGATCAAATAATAAAGTGTTATGAGAAGATTGTAATTCCCACAAGAAAATAGGTCAATCACAATTGTCTCTAATACTGCCTACTAAAGCTACTAAATTTATCTTACGCAATGAACCAAAGAATAATCACTAGAACTACTAAGAAGTGCAAAAATTAGTTAAGATAATAAAAAATAAAAATATTTTGGACTAATGATGGTGAATGAATTTATGTTCTCCTAAGCAAACTCACCTACAATACTTATAAATTAGAGCTTATGCACCTTTAGATACCCATCGATCTTGTAAAGATGTAAATAAATGTTTATGGCATCTATACAGTTATTATATCTCCATAGATCATATAACCCTAAACATTTTTTGTTCAACCTCCTACGCATTTATTATCAATGATTATGTTGTCGGCAATCATTGATAATACATGCAGCTGTGACAGTGTGCACCTTGTGAGAAAAATGCGGCTTCATTAAACCATGTCAGTGGCTTGTGTCGCCCATTTGATCCCGCTCGGTACTGAATCAACGGCTGTGATGACGTCATATATAAATCGGATTAACTAATCTCACATGCATTTCAAATGAGAGATGGAACAACAGGATTCGAGCCGTTGATCACGAGATCAATGACTTATATTTCATATAATTCATATATAGGCTAACTGAAACCTTAGTGATGAAGAGCGACACAAAATTGGGAAATATTTAATCAAATCTTATGAAATTTTAAATAGAGCTTAACTAGAGATAAATGAACAATGGGGACTAGCTTTTATTGTTTAAAACATGTTGTTCGCAAGACAAATTAAATCAATGTACTTTTAGTTAGGGTTTGATATTTACCTTAATCCAATGAGTTTCATGAGCTGATTTTAGGTTCGTTTTGCTCTGTGAGAGTCCTAAAACAATTTCTTGAAGAAGTTAATGACTGAGGAGGTCTAGATGGCAATGTAGAAGCCTTGGATAAAAATTGAAGTGCTGTGCTGGTGGCCAAAATCTCATCAGCGGGCTGAAGCTTGGGAAGTGTGAGGGAATTTCTGGAGATCTCAAACAAAAGAGATTCATATCTTAGAGGTAGTGAGTGAATGGAAAAATTAGTATGAGTGATTTTTGTCTCTTTGGCCCAATTAAAATGCCCTAGATCATTTAGACGACTGAGATGGCTTGAGGGAGTGTCTAGATGTTTAACATATGTCCTTAAGAAGTTATAAGGGCTGAGAAAAGGACTAAGCAAGGACAATGAGTTGTAAAGGTGTTTTTATCCTTTTATAAGCACATGGAAATCATTTGAGAGTTATTGAGGGTAAATTAGGGATTAAGCACTATTTAGGGAGCATTGAAAAAGACTATAGAGGGAATTTGAATAGTTGATAATGCTTAGTATGGAAGGAATGGGGTGTTTAGCTTAGTTTGACCATTTAGGACTTATTTAAGTGTATGTTGACCAAGTTGACTAGTCAACTAGTCAAATGTGCTGATGTGGAGTGTAGGAAGTGTACAAATGTTAATTGAGTGGAGTGACATGGCTTTGAAGCAAGGTACATGAAGGGTTGCAAATGTATGTGAGTTTGACCAAGTTTTAGTTAGTTGACTTTATCAAACTCACTATGATTTTACTTAACAATAATTTGGGTGTGTTTAAGCCATGCATTAAAAGGGGTTAAGAACTTGGTGAGTCTTGGATAACTTGAATTAATTATATGCAATGATTTGATGTAAATGGGTTTGGTTTGCCTCAATCTAAGCTTAGTTGACCAAGTTAAATGTTGACTGGTCTAGTTGAACTATGAGTCCTGCTTCTTTTGGCTCATTGTTCGGTTTGATTTTCACAACTTTGATAGAAAGAATTGATCTCAACGATCAACTTCACTTGGAGATGTATCACTTATATAACCAAGCTTAAGTAAGTCACATATGTAAAATGAAATTTAAATTCACATAAACATATATATTAACAACATACAACTTATATAATACGGTAGTTCTGTGCAGTTGATTTGACATTAATATTTTACAGCGCATTATAATGTGAACATAATTTTGTAAGCAATAGGAACAAATATAGTTCTTTTATGACTTTACATCTAACAACTACATAATCATATGCTATAAATGAACCAGGCTTCGTTTGGGACGACTTTTTTATTGCTTTTTAAAATAGAGTTTTAGTACAAAACTATTTTTTTTTGTATTAAACTCTATTTTAACAAGCAATTAAAAAGTCATTACGAAAGAAGCCTAAATTAAAAGATAATTATACTCACCCAATTCTTTAAAATATAAAAAATTGAAATTATATTTTATAGATTTAGAAAGTAACAACATTTCCTTTTTTGTTGCCTCTAAAATTCAATTATATAACTAAATTAAAACATATTAATATTTTTTAATTCCAAATCATAATAAAAATCAATTATTACTTCATCATCAGATGGTTCAACAACATGATTTAAACTAAATTATAAATTAGTTTAAAATAATTTCATTTCAAAATAATATAATAACACATTTAAGTTAATCAATAACATTAAGTTAAATTCCACATAATTTAAGAGTTAACTTACTTTTTTTGGGGACATTACTTGCTTTATTTTAATTATCCACCTAATTTCAACTAACCAAATGATGGACTAGACATTACGACAATTAATTTTAAAGTATTTTATAATTTTTTTTAAAAATAATTTCAAAATAATAAAGTTATCTACACACTAATCTAGAATTAAATTTAATAATCAATTAATGTAAATCTAATGACTCACTAATTTAAAACTCTACAACATTATGCTTTAAATAACTTTGATTTAATTTTTCAATACTTAAAGCAAATATCTCGCGCGCACCGAGTTAGGAACGCGACTAGCCAATTGTGCAGATAGATAATGGCCGGGCAATTGGGTTAGCTGATCAAATAGCAAACAACTAGCCTCGCCTTGCCACGTTACTCTCGTCAACCATGTCCACTTGAGGAAAGCCGCGTTCACCTGGATTAAATATTATGTGTGGATGCTGAACGCAGTCTAGAGACCAATTAGAATGCACCACGTCACCCCTGCACTTTACATCGTGGCTCGATACCGCTGACGTGACGCAATCTGATTGACCTCCAGATGACATTTTGCATCTAATCTTCGCACATAATAGTTTCTCGTTCACCTGAGGCACATGTAGTCCTCGGAAAAAGTCAATCATTACCTAAACTAAACGAATGCCATCATTTAATTTCTTTAATTCAATTTCATGTAAATAATTATGAAACTATTTCATTTTTAAAATTAATCCTACTTCTAATACTCTGTATTAAATTTTCAACAAATTAAATAAAAAAAAATATCTGGGAAGGCACGTGCGAATGGTGGTGCGCTTCCTTAGATGGCGTTGAATCGGAAAAGAAGCAGAAGAAAACACTTGCTTATTGTATAGAATTGGAGGAAAGAACCATTCTCACCACTCTCCTTCTCCTCAGCCCCTCCCGATCTGCTGGTCGGAAGCCCTTGATAGATCTGCAAAACCCCAAATCTTAGATCTTTCGATCAATAGCTGGCAGCCGAGTTTGGTAGAGTGATTTTATTTTCTATTCCGAATTGCAACCTGCTACAGATTTATGGTTGCAATCGGGAGGTAGGGCTCTTGGAAAGATTCTGAATCCTTGTTTTAGTTTAACAACGGATCGCTGCGGCGGAAGAGATGCCTGTTGCAGCATCTGCTATATATTTCCTTAATCTTCGAGGTGATGTCCTCATCAATCGCCTCTACCGTGACGATGTCGGGTAAGAGTCATTTCCCCTTGTTCTTTTTAGGTCTGAAATGCCATGGATGTGAATATCTATCTTAATATGTTGAATTGATTTATGCGAGTCGATTAACAGATCAATATGAGGAATAATAGGTAATGCTGATTTCGCATGGCGTGTTAATTTTTTATTGCTTTGAATGCGAGGAAAATAAAGCTCCCGGGATGGTTTTTTAATTTTAGCAAGACAAAATTGGAATCAAGTTGGATAATCATATCTGGCAAGCTGGTTTATGGGTTAGGAGTTACCATTCCCCTATGGCGCATGGCTTGTTGGTTGCACTGATTGTATTAGCTAGATGCAAAGTCATTTCAAAGATGGAAGAGAGGGTTTTAGTGCTTATTTTTCTTATTATTGCTATTTGGTTTGATTAATGGTTATTGTTGATAGCTTATATGGTTGTCTAAATGAAACCCTAGTGCAATTTCGTGCACTTCAACCCCTTTTTTTGGATCCAATCCCCTTGTATGAGTCTGTTTTGAAAGATGGTAGCTACTTTTGCAGATGCAATTGCACCAATCATCCATGACAAGAAGCCCATTTCAGTGTTCCTTTTCTTCCATTGGAGTTCATCACTTGGTTTTTTAAACAATTCATATCTCGGATATGGATCAAATTTTATAGTTCATCAAAATTCTTCTCATAATATATGTATATGTGTTATCATTTAGATTTTTTGTGCTAAGTGGAAACTCTAGAGGATTTGAATTGGTTGTACTAATACTCTTTTGATTATCTTGATTTACATGGATAGAATGCATATGGTGCAATGGACATATGTGTACAATTAAGTATCATTATGGTTTTTTTTTTGCATATTCTGCAAGAATGCTTTCTTGCATAGTATTATTTTTTTATTTATTTGTTTATATGCATGCTCTAACAATGTGTGCTTCATACAGGGGAAACATGGTGGATGCATTCCGAATGCACATAATGCAGACAAAAGAACTAGGCATATGTCCTGTTCGGCAAATTGGAGGTTGCTCTTTCTTTTACATGAGAATCAGTAATGTTTACATTGTGATTGTTGTGAGCAGCAACGCTAATGTTGCTTGTGCTTTCAAATTTGTTGTTGAGGTATGCTTGATATCCCTTCTTTCCATTTTTAACTGTGCCTATGCTGCTTAAGTTCCTCCATAGTCGTAAATTTTACTTAATAGTTGTCTTATATTGCATAGTCTATGTGCGTTCAATTTTATCCCTCTAAAAACCGCTATAATTTCAAACTTTGGGAGTGACAGTCTGTGGTGTTGGTGTTCTTGTGTAGGCTAAGAACTTTTCTTTGATTTATGAGTTTTCTGTTATAATATTTAATTATTGATTATAAGAAAACTTGTAAAAATTCAAAATACTGATGCAAACAAACAATTATCTCTGAAAAAAAAAAAAAAAATCTGTAGTTCTATTATTTTGCATCTGTGCCTTTCCCCTATATGGTGCTATCTCTTTCATTATAATGAGGGTACTAGAGTTTTTAGGAACTGTAGTGATAAAGGATGTGTTAAGTTTTTTTTTTTTGAACATCTCTACAAATTAACGTAAGAGCACAATATTCTTCCCTTAAAATATTCTAATAGCTCTACTAATTAATTGTTGATTTTATATCCCTCCCTTAGCTTTCAATTCAAGCATTTGCATATGTTATGCAGGCCTTAACATGTTCACTGTTGATCCGATAATCCTATAAATTTGGTTAAATTTATAATTGATGGTTGTCAGAGACATTGATGTTGGAAGGGTACATTCTCTTGCATGTCGAAGTTGAATTGTATTGAGAATATGGAATGATGGCACTCTCCAAATTTTGAATTTATTGATGGCATGCAAAACAAAATAGCCTTGTGTTGATTAAATTTGGTTGATATTAAAAAATTTATAGTTTCCTTGGCTTTCTTCAAGTACTGAAATTTGTTGATGTTCAGGCTGTTGCACTGTTCAAGTCTTACTTTGGTGGGGCTTTTGATGAAGATGCTATACGGAACAACTTTGTTCTAATATATGAGCTTCTTGATGGTATGCAATATGTTCCCAACCTTAGAACTTATTTCCCTTATATTTTTATGATCTTTTATTGTTAACATAGTTCTTTTAGCAGTTCCTTATGTAAATCAACTGATTTGTGTATAATTCATCAAAAAACAAAATGGTAGATATAACCTTTAGTCTTATCCCAAATATGTGGTTTGTGCTTTACTCCTTGCAAATATGTCATACCCTTTATTTTCATGATCAGGCTATGTCCTTTGAAATTCTTCTACTAATCTAACCTCATATTTCATTTTAAGGCTTCGTTTGGTTTTTTGAACTTCTCCGTTTCAAAAACATCATTAGAGGGAATGGAGTTTTTAAACGGAAAAAGCTAAACCATGTCGCTTCTCAAAACAGTAAGAAAATGGAGTTTTGCAAAAGTTTTGCAAAAAGCGTGCGGCACATTCAAACGGCAAAAAAAAAAAGTCGTTTTGAAACGGAAAAAAGCACAGGGAACGGGCAAACAAACCGTGCCTAAATGGATGAATAGCATTTAATCCACTTTTATGATCTTTTGGTAATCCAAATACAGTTTTTATAATGTCCGTAGTTGTTTTTTTTTTTCCATATATTTATGTGAAACCTATTTAGACAAGTCATTGGACTGATTTGACTATGTACGCAATGGCTGTATTGAGAAAACAGAGAAAATAATGACACTCTAGTTTAAGTAATTGATCGCCGCACTTGTTGGATTGCTTGTCTATAGAGAAAACTACCTACTTATGCAAGCCAGCTAAATAATAAATGGTTGTCACTGTTTGTTTGCTTCCGAAACTTTTGCTGGCTTGCATGGCTGTGATTGGTTTCTTGTAAAACATTCTCCTTATGCGCTCTGGGTTACTTAAGCCATTATAAATTTATTTTGAACCTCCTTAGTGACCTGAGGGCGATGTTTAACATGCTGAGAACGAATTTCTTTGTATAACGTCAAATTTTGAATATTAGTATTTAATCTATCTTCCGGTTCGACGCGTTGAACCTTTTGATGTATTTCCTTTATTTCAATAGCATTGTAGAGAACTGTGTTTCTATCAAAAGATTAATCATTTATGCGGTAGTCTTTTCTGAAATCATAGAGATTTGATCTGTAAATATTCTTCCTTATTTTTCCTCAGTTCATTTTTTTTATGGAGTCTATTCATATGCAAAGGCTTCTTACGTGATGATTCATGTCATGCTTTTGTAGAACCTAGAAAAGTTATTGTTGTAGCCCTGGACTAAGCAATGAATCTTTCCTTCATTTTGGTATAAATGTCTGTTTCGGGATTGTAAGGTTGAGATTTATAAATGTCTGTCATATGATTTTTAACCACGCAAGGTATAAAAAAATGAAGACTTAGGTAAACCTGTTTAAAATCTGACCTTCCAGTTGTTGGTGAAAATTCACTAATGTTGAATCGGTTTAAAACAATGTTAAGTCTAAGTTTTTTTTTGGTTAGTTGAGAGTACAGGTTGCTATTGATAAAGAGGTCATCTATTTATGCTCTGTCTTCATCCATTTATTTTGTGCTACCCAATCGTGTTTGGATTGCATAAATTGGGTATAGCATGGGCTAAATATCAATCATTCAATCTGAGTCCAGCTAGGAAACATTTATTCATACCTATAGTGGATAGACTGGCAAGAAAGTTTTTACCGTTTGATTTATTCATACCTCTTGAAGAAAGAGTTTTATGGAGGAGATTTAAATGAATATGTTGGTAGAGAGTGGATGATTTTAAAAGCATTTATGATGGCTATGTATTTAGATCGACCAATGAAGGTGGTAAGATCGTATTAGATTTTACTCTAACTTATGATTTTGTAATTGCTAATACCTTATTTAAGAAAAGAGATGTGCATCTCATCACTTATAAGAATGGATATAGTAAAAATTTAGATTGATTATTTGTTTATAAGAAAAATAGATAGTTTTGATTACAAAGATTGTAAAATTATTCCGAGTGAAAGGTTATGTACCTAATATCACTTATTAGTTATGGACTTTAAGATGAAGTAGCAGAATATGAAAAATAAAGTAAAACGTTGTTCTAAAATTAGATCGGGACATTTAAAGAACACTAATATAAAGGTTTTCGTTTGAGTATATCCAAAATCGAATACATGGAGTGCAATTTTAGTAGTAATAAATCTATTGGGGGGATTGTGACTTTGGGCAATCAAGTCATTAATAAAAATATACAATTTAGATATGTTAGGTCTATTGTTCAGAGTCACGGTGAAATAGATGAAGATATTATTAGTAGAATTCAAGTTGGATGGTTGAAGTGGAGGAATGCATTGGGCTTGTTGTGTGATAGGAAAGTACAGTCAAACGGGAAAATTTTATAAGATGTTGATGAGACCTGCAATGCTTTATGGCGCAAAATGTTGGCCATTAAAAGAGAAGCATACTATTAAGTTAAGTGATTGCAGAGATGAGGATGCTCAGGTGGATGAGTGGCTTTACTGTTAGAAATAGAATATACATGAAAAAGGTTGGAGAAGCTCCAATGGCAGATAGGATTAGAGAGGGTCGCCTAAGATGATTTGTTCACATAAAGAACAGCCTTCTGATGATGTAGTTAGAAGAGTAAATGTATTAGATTTGACTTATGTTAAGAAAGTTAGAGGTATACCTAAAAAGACTTGGTTATAAAATATTAGAAATAATCTTTCTTTATTAGATTTAAATGAGAATTTGACTCTTAACATGACACAATGGAGACAAATGATTCATGTAGCCAAGCCCACGTGGTGGGATAAATATTTGATGTTATTGTTGTTGTTGATTATTTTGTTGCAATGCAGTTGCCTGGTTCCACTAATTTTTCTTCATAATCATATAAAAAATCCTAATCCAAATATTTGGTAGGCTTTTCTTTTTATCACTTATGTTTGTTCAGATCTAGAGCTGTATTTGATGTTCGATCAAACCTGCCTGATTCTTTTTTCTCTTCTAATATGTGCTTGTGATTGCTAGAGTTTTCTTACTTTACACAATTTCAAAGAATTTTCAAGGGCAAGATGGTAAATAAAATAGGAAGAAAATGTTTACACCTTGCCCTAACATTTTGAATTTTAGTACTATTATGATTAGTTTCACACTAGGAATTTGAGTAACCTATTCTGTGTGCAACAGTTTTCTAACATTTTTTTGGCACGCTTAGCAACTGTAGCTTTTGGAGATTGATAATTATTAACATCAAGTTGTTTTTTCCGTTGGAATTAGTGATGCCACGGGTGTATCAGTGAAAATAAAAAAGAAACAAATCATCTGAGTAAAATAAATTTATGTGCAGTTTCACTGAAGTTGGAGGAAAGCAGAAGATGCTTAAGCCTACATTATTGTTCTGTTATCCTATTGTTTCCTTGCAACACAATGGAGATTGGATTCCATGAGGATGATTGGGAAATATTTTTTAGCCAACTTTTATAAATTCTCTTTAATTCTGTATATCATCTTTATTCTTTACTTAAGCACAAAGGACTTGCTCAAGTCCTTGATTACCATGTAAAGCATTCTTTATCTAGAGCTGCCACCATCACCCTTGGAATTAGAAACTAAAACGTCAAGCCATTTTAGACCTGCATTGAAAGATTCAAAGAGATGGAGCAATTAAGTGAATATGCATTCGTTTCTCTTTACTTTGCAATACGTCAAGAAATTTTTGTTAACTTATCTTTAAGCTTATTTCAATGGCCTGTTCCATCTTTCTTAATTGCCCCTCTCCTCTAGGTGTTTTAGCTGTCATTCATAATTGATCCCTTGTCATATAATTTGCAGAGATCATGGACTTTGGTTATCCCCAGAATCTTTCGCCTGAAATTTTGAAGCTCTATATCACTCAGGAAGGAGTTCGTTCACCATTCTCATCAAAGGTCAGGTTCCATAGTATGATGTAGGATGACAATCTTCCAACTTATGTGGACACTTTCATGTATGCAAGCAAAACAATTGTGTCAAAACACTTTAGTTTAGGCTTACTGAATGATGTCATTGCCATTTATGAAATTGCTTTATATTAATCTGTGATATCCATCATGCTGGCGGGCTCACCATTGCCATTTTAATGATTTTCCTTTTGCCAATTTATTAACAACTTTTCAAAAGCTTTTTCTTTTTGAAAAATTTATGTTTTAAAAGATGCGAGGCTGAGCGAGTAATAACTAGAAATAGAATCAAGTTTGTTGGTTGTCGAACTTTGTCTCCAGATATGCTTGAACTTGCACTTTGATGTTCAAATATATGCTATTGGGTGGCCACGAGCTACATACATACGACCAACCTTCTTGCTGCCCATTTGTCTAAAGTGAACATTTTGTAATTTCATTCTTCTGCAATGATAGCCCTCGGACAAGCCAGTTCCAAATGCAACCTTACAAGTTACGGGTGCTGTTGGTTGGAGGCGTGAGGGTCTTGTGTATAAGAAAAATGAGGTGATTTTTTTTTTATCTTTCTTCTTTTATTCCTTTCCTCTATTTATAAAATATTCAATTTTTATCTTATGGACTGCTTGAACTATTGTTGATATACTTACCCTATATTTCCTTTTCAGGTTTTCTTGGATATTGTGGAAAGTGTCAACCTCCTTATGTCTTCTAAAGGTTTATTCCATTTTGTTGTTGGTAGTTTAAAAAGGAAGACACTATATATACTAAAGTTTTATTCATATCAACTTCACTGCTCTCTTCATTGGTTCAGGTAGTGTGCTCCGTTGTGATGTGACTGGGAAGATTCTCATGAAATGCTTCCTTTCGGGTATGCCTGATTTGAAACTGGGCTTAAATGACAAAATTGGTCTGGAAAAGGAATCACAGCTTAAATCCAGGCCTATGAAAAGGTATGGAATATCTTTCCTTCATTATATTTCGAAAGTTTTCAATCATGATCATCTCTTCAATTCATTTAAATTGTGGCTTTTCAGAATTGAACTGGAACCAATATCTTTTGCTTGATTTGAATATCGTTTCTCCATTCATTGTGCTTCCTTGAGCAACTTATTATGTACATAAAATCTTACACAAACTTGTTTGTGTTTTGATGATAATAAAGAGTGCGTCAATTGCTATTTCTCAAGAGCCGTGGCTTTTCCATGTTTATAGAAAACCATTTGACCTATTTTTGTTTCTTGAGAACCTTTTAATGTTAAATAGATCTTGGTGTTAAAACCTTTTCCTCCTTTATAGGAATAATATATGGATGTTTATACCTTACATTTTGTAAGTGGCATGACAGACTGAGATTTCAAGAAGCCCAAATCAAAATTAGTGGTCTTTATTTTGGAATTTGTGTATTTGGTTTTGTTGTAACAAGATAAGTAAACAAATAATCAATTTAGATATTTCCATCTTCCTTCCATATAGGGTCATAAATAATAGATCACAGTTTTGAACATTTTCTTACTGTCAGATGCTTTTATTTTGGTTAAACTTTGGTTTTATTTTTTTTTATTAGGGGGTTTTACATGCCACAAAATTCTTATATATTTACATATCTAACATCTAAATCTTTATATTCACTTATGTAACATTCAAATATCTAAATGACATAAAACCATCAAGAGGTCACGTGCCCACGTGCCCTTGTGGGAGATCTTATGTACCGGGTTTTTAGTTATTATGAATTTAATGGATTTGATTCTTGAATGCATTTTATTTTATTGGTTTCATGAACTTTTTTCTTCATTTTAAACTGACAAATTGGCAAAAAATGTGATACTTTATGTTGGATTGCAACTATGGTTGTTTTCACTTGGGCATGCACTGTTAAATATCCATTAGTCAATGTGTGGTTTTGGAGATATTTACGAAGGATATTCAATGTGTGGTTTCTTTTATATATATTTTAGATGACATAATTTTAATCAAAACATCTGTTGAAATGAGTAGAATGTTAGAACAGTTGAGAAAATATTTAAAAAATATAAAACTTATAATTATTAAAACAAAGATTGAATATATGATATTGAGTTTTCATGGTCGTGTCATTAGTAATTATGAAACAATTTTATTAGAAGAAAAATCATGTTGGAGTCTTATATAGAAGAGTGGGGATATGTTGAGGATATAACTTCCAGCGTGAAGTTTGGGTGGTCAAATGAAGTGGAGCTTTAGGTTTATTGTGCGATCATGTAAATTTTATAAGACTAGAATTATGCTAATAATATATGAATTTGAGTGTTGGTCGTAAAAATATTGTGGTATAATATTAAGATGATGTTTAGTTGTTAAGAGTGGTTAATTAGTTAGACTAATTAGCTCATTATAGTATTGTAATACCCCATTTAGGCGAGGATGATGTTAGAAAAATTGTTTAATAAGTTTCATGTTCTTTCTTAATCTTTGGAGTGATTAAGTAGCTTAAAATGCTCTAATTAGGATATTGGATCTTAGCATTGGTGCTTTTGTTGATAGCTATCTCCATCGCTGCTTATCCTTGTTTTCCATGTTCGAGTGATCTCTTTGATGTCTCATTTGAGTTATTTTATTCATCAAATCAACCAGACACCATCCAGATCGCTGCTGGGCCGCTGGTACACTCCAAGAACTCCAATTACCTTAGCTATTTAGCCCCAACCACACCTTTGACCCAAACTTCGCCAAAACTGTAGTGTGGCAACTCTAAGTTTCCATGGATTTTCCTTCATCGTTGATATTGTTATCCACCTTGCCCTGATTTTCTAGCAACATCTGCCCATCAAGATCTCCCCCCATTTCTGTGACACCCCTCATGATTTCGCCACTTATATTGTGTTGTCAATATTTGATGAATACATTCGCCAACTTTGTTCAGGCCAACGCTTCGTCCAGATTTGGGTGCCTTGCTATCTCCCCCACTTGAGAAATTCCAATAACTGCTCTTTGGTATGATAGTCATCAACTTATCAATACTCCACCTTGTTAAGATTTTACACTGACCTGTTTGCAACCTCTGCAATTGGATTTGCGACAATCCATGTTGGCAATGCCATCTCCCAAGAAACTTGCAGCACTTTCTGTCGAATATCGATGGTTTTAATATTGACTCTTAGTGATTTCATCATCAGCCAAGAAATGCTATTTATCATCAACATTCTCCATGAAATGAGTTACTCAATTTCGAAGTTGCTTCCATCCTATGATCATGCCTTTTTAGCCAATCTTCGCATAATTGCATTCTTGATTCCCAACTACTGCAATAATAGAGATTGTTGCATCTTCTGCCTTCAATCTTCGACGATCACAACTATGCTCTTTTTTATTTATTTTATTTTATTTTTTGTAGACGATAACAACTATGCTCGATCTGTTCATTGTCCAAGATATTGCTTGCTGATTTTGTGGAATTGAAGACCACTTTTTTAAAATACAGGTTAAAAATTGTTTAATTGAGTATTGTTGTATAATAATCAATAAGTTTGATGAAAAGTTAGCATCTTCCTTTGTTGTCTTGAAAGAACTTAACTTGCAATTAGCAAATTTTGAAAAATGCCTTGGATGGCAAGGCTGACACGAATCATGGATGACATTGACATAATTTACTAACGGCTCTTCATTATGGCTAGAAATCTAGAGGGATTACTTCCAATTTTCTCAAGAAAATACTAAAGAGGACATGGCCATCATGTCTCCTTTTTGCGAAGCTCAGGCCCACCTCAAGGATAAGCACTCTTATGAAGCTTCATGCATTGCTCTAAATGTTACCAAGGATTGATATGATTATTATTGGTGATAAGATGTATGCACTAGCCTCCATTCTTGATTTATTTGAAGTTCATATTTAGTTCATCAAATATCATTGATCGACATTTTCTTATGTGACTTCATTATTGGTATATAATATCCCATTTGGGATGGATTATGATAAAAATGATAAATAAGTTTCCCCTTTCTTTTATCTTTTTTTTTTAAATTTCTGGAGTGATATAAAGTCGTTGATAGCTAAGTGAAGCTCGAAATAAATGCAAGTTAAGATACATGTATAGAAAACCAAAAAACAATAAAAGTTCACCTCTTATTTGTGTTTTTGAATAATATCCACATTTTTGTAAGTTCAATTTGAAATTGTTCTTGAAATAACTAAGTAGAATGTTTTGTTTATTTGGTTGTCATTGATTGGCTTTACGGAGGGTATGACATCCTTTCATATTTGAAACGTACAGTTATGGCATGGTTGACGTCCAGTTATGCTTAGAGGTATGCGATAGTGCACTAAGATATCAGGATGTCTTATAAATTTTTCATGGAGATCTTTAAAAGCCTTATTCACCTTTTTATATTTCTTATACCGATGAGTTTTTCTTTTCCATATAATGCTTGGAGATTTTCTTTGAGGTTATTTTTGACGGGAAAAGAGAGCATGCCCTTTCTAGACATGGGGGAGTTCTGTTCATTATAGCCTTAACGAGTAGACTTTTGCATGCAAGGCTAACTAGTTGCCATGCGTTCATTTTTTTATGTAATCTTTTGCAATAGCAATTTAGTCTTATTTTCATTTCTACTGCTAAATATTTATTCAGATTTGATATCAATAATAGTTTGTATAACCTTGTGATTGATGAATCATGTGTTTTTCCTTAAAATTGGTTTTTACTATTTTTATTAATGTGGTATTGCAGTGGAAAGACAATAGAGCTTGACGATGTCACATTTCATCAATGTGTGAACCTGACAAGGTTTAACTCGGAAAAGACGGTCAGTTTTGTGCCACCTGATGGAGAATTTGAACTTATGAAGTAATTAATCACTCCTTAACCTTGACTAGAAATGGACATTGATTTTGTCTTACAGATTGCATAAGTTGCAGATTTGAATTTTTTAGTAAAGGTTCTAAAGTTCATTTCATGCATGCAGCATGCATGTTTTATATTTGTTGTAAAATAGTTTTTGCAAGGTTTATGTTAAAAACTTTTGATAGAACATGCTTGAAATGGCTGAACTAGGAAATTCTGTGATGTTTGAATAATTTGAGGCCGTGAACCTGGTTTATTGATGGAATACTGTAAAACTAGTTTTGATATATTTAATCTGTCTGGTTGCATCTTGATTTTTGGAAGTTGTGAACTTCCTGTTAAGGTTGTCTTGGGGAATGCATATATTATTATCATGTCAAAATTTTTAGAAACCTCCTTATCATTGAAGATTTGAGTGGCTAACTTATTCGTAATCACCTTGACGTCTCAATACAATGTATTATGACATCAAACTGACTTAGAAATAATGTTGAGGACTGCTACAGAACTGGTAAAGGTTTTATGTAAGTTCTAGTGTTTCCTATGAGTTCAAACACAATAACCTTCCTAGCTTTTTTCCTAGCTTGATGGAGATGATCTATGAAAAAGGGGCTATCATGAATTGCTCTATAAAATCCTAATTACGTTCTTTTGCATTCAAACTTTCCTTGCCATAGTTTTTCCTCTATTTTGCTAGTTATTTTCTCTTTGATTTGGCTTTAAATAGTGAGCAAGTTCACTGTTATTAGCAAATCATTTATCAAAATAGCATCTGAAGTTCCGATTTGTTCTTGAACTGAAACTGGTGGCTATAACTGTTGACTTATTGAAATGACCTGGTCACCCCTTCTGGTATTAGATACCTGAGAAAGAAAAATGCTGCTGATGATTTTGGATACTCCTAGGAGTAGTTGGCTGGAAGATTTTGAAGGATAGAAGAGATATGATAGAATAAGAAAGGACTCATTGTCAAGTGAATTGAATTTTTGTTCCATTGATTTTCAATTCTAGTTACAAATTATATTTATAGCATCTAATTACCTATTAAAGAAATCATAAAACTACATAAAAATTCAAATCTGACTTTAAAATAGGAAATTTAATATAAAATTTATCTGTGATACTCTCTTTGTTAAGACAAGTTCTAATGTAATTGTTTATCAAATTTATTTGAAAATATTTAAGAGAATATTCCCTTAAATAATTCTCTCATTGATTTGGGGTGTCCATGATAGAGAGTGAGATTTTGATGGAGTGAATTGTGAAAATTTATTTGGATTTCTTTGAATTCCTTGAGTTGATTAATCTTTTCTCTCCCATACTTTTCATGTGAATCCTTCATGTATAACTTAAATTTGTGGAGTTAGTTTTGGCTTTATCAAAAACCTCATTAAATAGTGTTTTGGCTTATCCAAAGCATAAATTAAACTCTAATTGTTGCCCTCCTTGCTAATTTGGTTAAATTCCATTTTTAAACTTATTATTTGGACTCATTTAGCATGGACAATGCCCCACCTGGATACCATAGGTTCCCTTGTCTATTTTAAACTTGTATTAAACTTGTTGAACTTGATTTGAAATGACTAAACTATTATCTTCTTTGCTTAAGCAATTTAGTCCCAAGTGGGAGAGTTAGGGCTCGAGAGCTCCTTGATCATGAATATTCCCTTTAAGTTCATTTTCCCCTAGAAATTACTATTAATCAGCGAGCAAATAAAATTTGTAGTCAATCCTCTAAAGATGTAGTCAATTTAAAGACTATTGTAACTAACTCTGGTGGTGGTGTAGACTCATAAAATATATCTAGACCGTGCAATACGTCCAATACAAGCTAAAATATTATCTATTTTTATAGGTGACCTATTAGTAGTGTTAATTATTTTTTCTGCTTAAGTTAGCCTAATTCTCTTGAGTAGCCATCCTCATGTAGGGATTGGCTTATTATGTTATAGCTGACTAATGAGGCCTGCTTATTCTAACTTGGAGCTGATATTATACAAATGCTCTTGGCAATGTGCTATAGTGTTCCATTTTATTGGATTGCCTATTGTGGCAACTTGTCACCCTTCTTGAGTGATAGCCATTACTGGCACTTTTGAATACCTTATGAGCTTCTTTGGCTTCATCTTCTTGGAGCTAGCTCCCTCTTTATAAGTTTTTATTTAATCTGCAAAAGTGAATTAGGAATAATTGTCTGTTTCACCCCTGATTGGCGATTGTCTCTGGTCATGTTGCTTAATTTCCACTATTATAGTTTCTCTGTGCCTCTTCACCTTCTCTTCATCGTTTACCATCACATCTGGCTTCTTGGGCGCATAGATGTTCTTCTTGATCATCATGTGGTCTTGTATCGGCCTCTTGTGCCCCTCTTGGGTATTCACAGTATGGCCATTTTGGATGCTCATTTTACTCTTCTGATCTCTCCTATAAATTATGGATTTTATTCTCGGGCGGATCTGCTGAAATTTTCTAAAAGTAAGGCCGTTAGCTTAAGTATCTTCTAGATCTTTGCAAGTCATCTCATCATTGCTTAGATTAATGATTCAGATTCCTTCAAGTGGATAAATTGCACCAACCTGATCCATAATCAACTCGACAAGACAATATAGTTGTAATATGATTTCAAATTGACTTGAAAATAATATTCAGAATGTCTGTGAAACCTAGCGGAGTTTTATGTGACCTATGCTTTATGTAAGTAGTTAGAGTTTCCCATGCGATAAGAGATAGTAACCTTCCTAACTTGATGATGAGATGATCAATGAAAAAGAGATTGACACAAACTGCTCAACAAATCTTCCTTACCCTGGCTTTTCCTCTATTTTACTTGTTATTTATTTCTGTTTTAGTTTTAAACAGCAAGCAGTTTTGTTGTTATTAACAAGACATTGATCAAAATAGTAGTTGACCTGATTTCTCACTTGAATTGTGAACGGCTTCTATAGATGCATATATGTTGAAATCTGCTCTTTTAAACCTTTTCTTGGTTTCTTCTAACGGAAAAAGAAACATATACTTTTCCTAGGTACCGGATTACTGAAGGTGTGAATCTTCCATTTCGAGTGTTGCCAACAATCAAGGAATTGGGCAGGACCCGGTTGGAAGTAAATGTGAAGGTATGCATGTTGCACATGTGGGCAAGTTCTGACATTTCTTTATGTCTAAAACTAATCTAATTCTTATATATTTTGTAGGTTAAGAGCGTTTTTGGTGCAAAGATGTTTGCACTTGGAGTAGTTGTCAAGGTTCCAGTTCCAAAGCAAACCGCCAAGACAAGCTTTCAAGTAACATCAGGCCGAGCAAAATACAATGCCTCTGTTGATTGTTTGGTCTGGAAGTAAGATTTCACAGTACATATCACCTGTATCTGTTTATAGGTTTCTCCTTTCTTTTTGCTTGTTGAAATGAACTTGAAGTGGAAGATAAGCTCTGAGAGACATGCACGTGATGTTCTGCCTTTGTTTTTGAATTTGTTTATTTCTAAACGTTATATCCCAATTTAAACTTCCAGGATAAGAAAATTTCCTGGACAAACAGAAGCAACCATGAGTGCAGAGGTTGAACTTATTTCTACAATGACGGAGAAAAAACCTTGGACCAGGCCTCCAATCCAGATGGAATTTCAGGTTTTGTTTAAGGCCTCGTTTGAGGCCGCTTATTTTCTCCTTCTCCGTTTCGAAATGGTGTTTGCCGCAGTTTGAATATGCCGCTTACGTGAAAATGCTTTTTGCATAACTTCGTTTTTTTTTTACTGTTTTTATAAGTTTTTTGATATATGTTTCTCGGTTTGAGAACTTCATTTTCTCTGCCAACGTTTTTAAAACTATCTTTTACAAAAGTTAAGGAATAACCAAACGAAGCCTAAATCTTTCTCCGTTAATTCTATACTCTTATCTACCTTAGCTTATGACATCGTTATCCCTCAAAATCAATAACTTTCCAGCACTTTTATCCTCTTCTCCATGCTCGTAGTTGGAAGCAGTTCTTGGTGCCATTAGAACTGCCATTCTATTGGAAACTGCATGTGTATTTTATTTCCAATAAATAGTGTAATATTTAAGGTCATTTAATTAATCCTCAGTCCTTTGAATTTTAGGTTCCCATGTTCACTGCATCAGGCTTGCGTGTTAGATTTCTAAAGGTATGATTTTGTTCTACCTAAAGTTGAACTATATACACCCTACAAAACCATTAATAAAATTTAATCCCTTACTGCAAATCTTGTGCAGGTTTGGGAAAAGAGTGGATACAATACAGTCGAATGGGTTCGGTACATCACAAAGGCTGGATCTTATGAAATCAGATGTTAAGAGGATATCAGAATGCAATGGTGAGGCACTGAATAACATGAAATATTCTCTTATATGTATTCTTTTGCAGCAGAATCGGCAGCACACCAGCGTTAGATTAGCACTGTAACTTTCCCCACAGGTTAGCTGAACTTCACCTGCTATTTTGATTTTTGAATTTATTTTGTTATTATAGTGACGTTTGATTGTACTATTTTTTAAAATATTTTTTTTCTTAAAACGTTCTTATGTTTAGATGATGAACACATTAGTTGGAACCTGATTTGTAAATGCAAAAAATTCTATTGTTTGTGGTATCAATAGTGATTTGTTGGCTGTAACTTGCCTGTGAGCGGTTGGTTTGATTAATTTGCTGTAGCTGAGCCTAAGTAATACTAAAAAGTTGATTTAAGAAGCAGTAAGAAAGCCGTCCCAAAGAAGTCTCTTTTTTATTGCTTCAAAGCAGTTTTCTAGTTGAAAAATAAAAAAATTTGTATTAAAAAATTGCTTTAAAGAAGCAGTAAGAAAACCGTCTCAAACAAAGCCTGAATATGAGCTAGAATAAAATGTGTTAGCAACGACGAAACAAATTCTAGACAGACATTTGGGTCTATTGAGGTAAATTCATACACAATGCACAATTTTCGAATTAAAGTTCTCTTGGTTGGTAGATCAAGCTCCTAATTAATAGACTAAATTGAGTTGCATTTATGTCGAATCAAATCTAATAAATTTAAATCCATATGCTTACAATTTTTTTCCTATGAGCTGAGCACGAATAGCAAGTTATGACAATGATCATCTGATTTATTAAATTTTCACCCCAAGCTATTCAAACATAGCCACCACAGGATGGATTGACAAAATCGGTTCTACAACCCCCAAGCCTAAGTTTTCCCTCTCCTCTCCCTCTCTGCTTCCCTTAAATTTCCTTTATTGTTCTCTAGCTTTGTGGAAACGAAAGGGAAAATGGAATATAAGAGTTCTGTTAATGGATAAATATATTTTGTAATAAAATAATCTAATGATACAAAGTTAATTATGCAATTTGTTTAATTTTTTAGCAAAAAATTCATATAAATCTTTTTATATCTTTAAATATGGATCTCTAAAAATTATAAAAAAAAATTCATAAATTAGCTAAGCATGCCTAAAATGATCTTGATGAAATTGGTTGCAAAATGAACACATAACAATCTCAAAAATTTCACTTGTATTATTATGTGTTAATTTTTTATATTGTTCATAAAATTAGGAAAAAAATTATAATTAAAGCACAATAATATTTATATTATAATAAAGACAGTTAACAAATTTGAGATATAATGACTTAAAAAATATTTAATTGGATCAAAACATGGGCTATTATACAATCACCTGCTTGAGACGAGTTATCTCATAGATTGAGATTGATTATACAAGGTTTACTTAACTTAAATTGACTTGATTTAGCTTAATCAAGTTGATATAACTTGAATAAACCTAAATTAACTTTGTTGTGTTCTGAAATATTCACGGTGGTAGAAAGATAGAAAGTTTAACATCTTAGATTTGTACAAAGATCAATCACACAAACATATGGAAGATAAAGATGTAGCGTTCATAAGAGACAATAGTTTTTATGTGGAAACCCTTGAAAAGGGGGAAAAATATAGGACTTTGCCCAGTTTAAATGACTCCGCTAATGTTTGCAGTTGATTACAGATGAGTCCATTCTTTGGGGAGAAGGCCTTTGCTCGATGTAGCAAATATATATACAACATATAAAATGCATTACATAGTTGGAGTTGGAAGAATCAGTGTTGACATGTTTGTAGGGTTGGCAGGACCATAGTTGGTGGAAGATTTTCGTTAGAGGAACTAAAACTAGTGGGCGATCGAGGTCAGAAAGACCGTAGTCCGATGGTGGCGGTCGGAGATACCATAGTTTGAAGATGGTGGTCATAGAGACCATAGTAGTCGGGTTACGGCTGTAGGCAGGCGACAATGGTCTAAAGGACTGTAATCGGCAGGCAACGGAGGTCAGAAAGATCATTATTTGATAATGGTGGTAGAAAGGACCGTAGTTGGTGGGCGATAGAGGCCAAAAAAATCGTAGTCAGCGATGGTTGTCGGAAGGACCATAGTCGGTGAGCGACGAAGGTCGGAAAGACTGTAGTCAGGTGACGATGGTTGGAAGTAGGGGTGTCAATTTCTAACACGATCTGAAAATCCGACTCGAACACGACCCAAAAAATCCGGGTTTGGGTCAACCCGTTTGTGAAATGGGTCAAGTTCGGGTTGACCCGACAATTCGCGGGTCGACTCGTTTAATATGGATCCCCCGCGACCTAACCCGGTTCTGCGGATTGTCGCGGGGTACGAGGTTGCGAGCTCCTGCCTAGCCGCATTTTCGGCTCTATCTCGCGCTGGCCTTACCCGAACGCCGCAAGATTGCATATGCTGCTGGCCTCGTGACTCGGGTCTGCAAGACACGGCCTCACCTGGTCTCGTTTAAACTCTCGAGTCTCGCCCCCGCCCCGGGCGTTGCTGGCCTCGCAAGTCGTGACCCTCGCTCGCACTCCGCATTCGCACCTGGTCAGTTGGTCTCGCCTAGTTGCCCCCGCCTCGACCCCTCGCTAGACCACTAGTTTCGCACTTGGTTAGCGGCTTCAGATTGTCATTTTGCAAACGGGTCGCGGGTTGGGTCGGGTCAACCCGGCAACCCGCGTGGGCTGGGTCCAGGTTACAAATCCCGACCCTTTTGTGAAATCGGGTTGGGTTCGGGTTGACCCATTTAGACCCAGGTCAAGTCTGGCTCAACCCGAACCCGACACGTTGACCCATTCTGACACCCCTAGTTGGAAGGACATTAGTCAGTGGGAAATAGAGGTTAGAAAGACGGTTGTCTCGTGATGGTCGATGGTTAGACGTGAGTCCGGAGTCAATTGACGACTGGGCGGAAGTCTGACGACAATTAGTGGCCGGGCGTAAGTTCGGCAGGAGTCCGACAACGATCAGTGGTCGGGCGGTAGTCGAGGAAGACTTCGGTGGCAAGAGAGATTCAGATTTATCTTCCTTCTTCATCTTCTCCCCCCTTCCTTTTTTTTGGTCCCCCTTTTAAATAGGAATGAGGGGTTTATCTATAATTTTTTACGAGTGACATGGACAGTAAATAAGGAGAAGATTAAGGGCACATTGAGAGTGTTTCGAATGGGCGGCCGATATCAACTCCCTTGATTATAGATTGTTTATCGAGTATATAATTGTCATAATGATGTCAGAATTCAAGGATCTTAAGCTCGTTGGATTCATTTCGTTGAGCCGTTCGATTCGACTTTAAGCATGTCATATTTGAATATCATTTGGTCATCCAATTTATTCTTTGAACTTTATAAATGTGCTTCGGGCCCTTGATTTGTACTCATTTGGGCTCAGATTTGGTAGAATTAGGTGTCTTGGGTCCGTCTTTTCGAGATGTTTAGGTCGACTATGAGAATTTTGAGCTGTAATCTCCAAGTGACGCTTTGACAAAAGGCTCTCTCGCTTTCTCTCTTTATGGGAATTTTGAGCTGTTCGTCTCCAAATGACGCTTTGACAAAGTCTCTCTCTCTATCTATGGGAATTTTTAGCTGTACATCTTCAAGTGAGGCTTTGACAAAGTCTCTCTCTCTCTCTCTCAATATTGCACTATTTCAAAAAGAGTTACCAGAGAAAAAAAAGGGAAAACAGCACAGCAGCTAGATTGAGTAATCTAAAGGCATTGTCTGATTGGCATGAATATGACCATATCATGGCTAATAAGAATGTTTAGATCAACTAAGGTGAGTGAATTGGACCACTAGTGGGCTAAGGTGTCTAATGATTTACTTAATAGGTCAAGTCTTTAACCTTGGACACAAGATTAAGGATGACTGGGCTTTGCTTGATTTGGGGTATCGCGAGCTTTTGATAGTCTCAGAATTCTAATTAGGTGTTCAATATTATAATATATTGACTAATTTTGATTAAGGTTGATTGAGGTGGGTCCATGGTCAACTGGGTTGAGCTTGATTAGGTCATTTGATTAATGCAGATCCTAGAGAGATGTTAAAGTCCTTAAAGATATTTTATTGGGCAGTCAATGATCCTAAGCATTTTTCTTGTAGAATTTGACCAAGGTGGGCTATAGTGGCTCAAAATAGGTTCATATTGACTTGAGCATATTGAGAGCTACTAAGTCATCTATATTTGAATTTATGGAAGTCATGGATTAGCACATATAGGTTGGTCACCTAAATCCTCCTAAGGTTCCCTATTTGTCCATGAAGTCAGAAGTTGTTTATAGATATAATTGGTCTTGTATAAGAAAACGTGGGTTGGATGATAACTATGGTTCATAAAGATGTTGAAATATGCCTCTATGCACTTGTAACTTGTGGGGAGATTTGAATAAATCTTTAGTCATTTATGGGTCACATAACCAAGAGAGAGAATCTAAGTTAAGTTTGACTCATGAGGCTCAGTGGTAGATTATAAGCTAATATGCTCCAAGAAGGAGGTCATAAATACAAAAAAAAGTTAATTATTTTGATGCAAATATGACAGTACAATAATAATAATAATAATAACATAAATTTGAGCCATAAATCTTCTCATAAGAAAATTGGTTTGTCACTTTCAATGTATTCATGACATCAAGATTAATTTACAAGATTATAAATTTGTTCTACTAATGAGAAATATCATTGATGACAGCTTGCTTCGCCGTATCATAGCCATGAGTGTTGGTTGGGTAAGCCTAAGTTTAAGCTCATCCAAATAGTTTTCAATCATACGAGAGCATTATATGATCTATTTGTTGTTGATATAGATAAATAATATTCTAGTATATTTAGATAATGATTTAAATACACAATCAAAATCTATGAATCAACGCAAATCTAGTTTACTTGGGACATAATGCACTTTTGGATTATAACAAGAATTCTAAAGTTTTAATTTCCACTCGAAGTTTTTATTAATAATCCATCATGTTTTTATGATACATGTTGCCTTTTCCTCTAGATGGAGCCCATCCTAGTTACATATAGTTACACCCATTATATTTTTATGCTATCTTATTTGATACTTTAGGATTATGCAACTTTTTTCCTTTAAGAAAAGGATCATCTTAGCTATCCTCAGTAACTATCATAATCTTCTTATATTACACCACATGTTGCATTAAGGTCATGCTACTTTCTTTCAACACTAGAAGGAAGATCATATCAACCAATCTTAATGACCTTTTTATGACTTTCTTGTGCTACCACTTCCATCAATTTATGAAAATGCCACCATCATCTATAGGACTATCTCAACATCCTCAATGGTCTCCTTG